CAGATTCATTGTGTGTGTGTTAACATTCTCTGCTCTCTGCTCTCTGCTCTCAAATTAAAGATGTCCTGGACTCTAACACCTCATCAGCTGCTGGAGGAGCTTGTTTCTCTGACTGCAGACTAACATCGACTGACGATTTTGTTTTACTCTCATCGCGGACTTTTGACTAAATGCTAACTAACCTATAGACCCCCCCAAAAGTCCATACTTGAAGTCAATGAAATGTTAAAATCATTTCAGACAACTAAATTTGCTGTTCAGAGTTAGTTGACTAAATTAACTCATAAGTCATTATACTGCACAATTAAAACAGATATAACACACAAAGGCAGTGGTTTTCAACCTAGGGGTCAGGGCCCAATTTGGGGCCAACCAAAATATCAAGTAACCAATAAAAAAAAATTACAGATAAAAATATTTTCTGAATTTATATTTAAAAAAACATGACATAATCCCACATTGTATACAACTGTATACTATCAGTTTCATTAATATAAATATATACATCATATAAAATATTTAAGCATCTTCATTAGTGAAAGCTACCAAAATCTCTCTATTCAATATTAAATATGAAATATATTTAATATTAATGTGTTTCCTTTTAGAATTACAGGAAATATATACTCATACGTTAGGACGAACACATTATTTGCATTTATTCGTTTGATTTTCTTGTAGATATCTCAATTAATAATGCTAAGTTGCAATAACGATTAATCACAATTCATCGTGATTATTCGTGACTAATCCAGAGCTACTCATCCAGTTTTCATCCACCCAAACAGTATGAGGTGGTTAACTTCCATATGACTGGCCCTTTGTTTACATGTCCCACCTGACTCTTTGTCCTTCTACATCACAAAATGTCTTAGTTGACTAATGCGTGGCTTTTAGTTTTCCATTTTCTGTCTTAGAGAAAGGAAAGAAAAGTCATTCACTAGGACAATAAGACAAATTCTAAGTAAACAAAAGTAACAGGAGATAAACAGATGCAAGAATAAAAGAAAAACAATTTCCATCCCTTAACCTTCTCTGGTGCCAACACTTTCAGTGTGAGCTTGTTCTCATTTTTTCACTTTGTACTTGACGACTACTGTTCAAGACTTGTTGATAGAGAAATAAAAACCTTGAGGTTAACCTTGAGCACGAGACAATACAAGAGACACACTTTCAATAACATGTTAAATCACCAAAACTCCAACTAACTAAGTACTAACTGACCCACTATCTAACCAGTAACTGTCTGAATTCAAATATTAAACACCGAATACCAAACAACAACTAAAAATATGTGCATAACCTTGACTACAGCTGGGTTTTTACGGTACTGCAGCAGCCTGGCCAGGGATTGTAACGCTCCAAAACGGAATGCTGCAAAGAATTTAGGAAGGATGTATTGATGGGCCAAGTTGCCACGGGGGAAAGGAGATCTAAATAGGCAGCAGAGATGGTGAAGCACTGAGACAGGAGAAGAGGAGGTAGAAGTGGAGTGTGGGGTGAAGGAATAGTAGGGCAGCTGATGTAGATGTCTTAAACACCAACAGCAGACGAAAGGGGGGACGGAGGGTTGGAGTCTGGGCAAAAAAAAATGTACCAAGCGTGGATTTATTCTCTGTGAAATCATCCCATCACTTTAAGAATGCGACGATTAAACTTGCGGACCTTGTAATTTCTATCATTTTCTGGAAAATCCCATTCATTTATTACAAGATTTAGGCTGTAAAATAAATATTTATTCACTCAACAGACTGACTGACTCCAGGATAAATCACTGAGAGAGCTGCAGAACGAGAATCAACACTGACCTTCAACCACATCCAAGGAAACTTTTAATATTTTTAGGTCTGCTACTTCTGGACCAGAAGACATTGAAAACATATTTCAAGGATGTCATCACCTTCACCTGCACGTTATTAATGAAAGACTTCAAATGGAGCCTCACCTTCGCCTCTCCTAATTGCTGCTGCAAAGTACTTTAGACTTCTTTTGTATTTTCCTGTTTGGAATTCAGAATGAGGCAGAGCTTTTTTTTTTCTGATTGAAGCCCAATTTCACAGCAGTAAATTCAAATAACCTCAAGCTGTAATCATTTCTAGATCACGCTCATGAAATATTCTGCTAATTAGGAAACATACAGCAATGCATTATTTGCAATCGGCACAGTAATTAATGGCAGCCCTAGTCGGCAACGACCTCAAAATGTATTTTCTGAACTATACGCTGAGGCTAACTGTGATTGATACGAGTCATTGCGCCGCAGCCGTACCATTAGAAAGAGTTTTAAAAACACAGGATAACAACATGCCGCCATGGCTGAACCCTTACGGATCACAACCATTAGCATGTCACGTTGGGGCAGGACTGTACAAACATAGGAAGCCACCCCATATAACTGTCACACACGGCTGCTTGTTGCTCCATGTTGTCGCGTGATGCTCTCCCTCAGCACACCGGTGGCTATCTCTCGTCACCGATAATAACTGTGTGGTGTCGGAGCTTCAGATGTGTGTGACTCAGTTTCAGTTTGAAATCTCACTTCACACACGTCCTGTAAGCTGAATTCAACACTTGACGAACTTAAGCTTAAGATCCCTTTGTTGTTATCTGATCTGCAAACGTACCATGCAGTTCCCTGTTTTTAAGGAGCGACTCGCTGTTACTAATCCGGCCATTAGTGTTTTAGTTCAATCCGTTTAAATCTTCTTATAGTGAATTCGACACAATTGCGTTATCCTATTATTATAAGACAAGAGCCCAAATTGACTTTAGCAGTTGTTCCCAAATTATGATACAGATCTGAATGTCAATTTTCACTTATTTATTAACACAATATATTCAGTAACAGAACAGAAACACCTGTGCATGCACACAAATTATTGTCGTGCACACACACGTTGTATGGGTTTTGGAGTTGGGTGAATACAGTTGCAGAAAGTTCCTAACATTATATTTACTGATGGATGCTCTCAGCATTCAGCCCAATATCCCCACTGTGGCAGATATACTGATATTATTGCAATTGAAATGGCTTTCACTACCCCAGCCAACACTACACGTACCCCTAAGGGGACCCGCCCCTCATTTTGAAAACAACATCTTAAAAAATACCACATATCCGTACCATTTACCTGCACAGTCCTGAGGTCATTGTATCAAGTCTTTAACCTCATTCTTCAGGCTGTAGAAATGTTACTCTAATTCACATATCATTATTTATTTTTCATCTTGAAATTAAACATTTTCAAATTTGATCAGAAGGGTCATATTTTGCCACAGTGTAATCGGTTTAACCGTGCTATTGAAATACAAATGTAGTAAATTACAACACAATCTCTTTAATAAAACAGATGGGCATTGAAAACACTGAAGCCTTTTCACTGTTGCAGATGAATAATCATACACAATTTTTTTTAAATCAATCTGCTGCAGAAAAATTATTAACATCTGTGTCTTAAATGCTCAAATGAAAGGGTTTTCTGACTCCACACCATCGCCCGGGTGTCTCCCGGAAGATAATCACGTTTACTTTCCGCTGCGCTGCACGCCACTGTGTACTTCTGAGCAACAATGCTGACGAGTTCAACAAGGATGCATTGAAAAGCAAACACTTACAGCAATTATATGCAAAGGACAATCTGTCACATTGTGAAGCCTCGGTAGCTGCATGAAAAACGTGTCCTTTCAAAGAGACACAAGACCGAAAATCAAAGCCGCTCAACCGATTTGGTGAGGAGCTCGAGTGCTCGCTTTCTGACTAATGAAATATCTAAGGCACTTGATTTCAGCTCAGTTTCAGTTAGCACCTGCATCTTCACAGCTGTGCTCCTGCTCTCCAGGATAACTGACTCGGTCTCAATGCAGCGAGACGAGGCCCAGTGCGTCACAACGAAAGACAGAAGTGGAGTGTGTTTTCAGGACAGGAGATTGACAAGCTCATGCTGAAGAGCTTATCAGAGAGATTAGAGTGCATTTTTATTAACAGCGGCGGATCTCTGAGGGCAGACCACAGTGCAGCGGACGGGGCTGTCTTTTTGGCTCCTTTGTATCGTCCTCTATTTGACAGTTTCTTCATGGCCTTCGTGTTGTAAGAAATTTGAGTACTCGAAGTACTCAAGAACAAGATGCTAACTGTTCACTCTAAATGAAGCACGCGTGTGGTATAGGTATGAATATATTCCATATGTAACATGACAGCCTTCAGATGAATGTAGAATAAGCCAATGTCAGGAAGGTGGACTGCACCATGAGACATTTTTCTCTGTGCTTAACTGTTTTGAAGCCAACAGCTCCAACAATGGCTGCAGGCCTGAGTGAAGAGGAGAGGGAGAGATGCTGAAGCCAAAGCTCAGACAAAGACACGTCTGCTCAGCCACTGAATAAAGGCTCTGGCAAAAGATTACATCACTGCAAGCTAGTCTGTGTTACATGTTCATCGATGTAAAAAGCACCACCTCCTTCTTCTTCCTTCCTCCCACCACCTCCCCCTTTCAGGCATCAGAAAAAGGGGGAAAACTATTGAAGTCTTTCTTATCTGTTTTTTTTTCTTCTTACAAAAACCTCACATTCATTACTGATGGTAATGGTTTGGTTTTATTAGTTTTCTTCTCTGAGAATTCTTGGAGGCAGCTTAAGATACGGAGTGATTAATCAGTGATGAAGAAGAAAGAAAGAAAGAAAGAAAGAAAGAAAGAAAGAAAGAAAGGAGGAAGGATTACTCACTCGCACTGTTGACACTAAGGGAATCCACAAAAGAAATCTATCAGTAAGTGAGCTCTCATGATCAACACATGACTTTCTGCCATTACATTGGCGAATTCTATCAATGTCCCCCATCAATGACTCTGATCAATCCCAGAAAAGGCACGATTCTGCAGAAAGAAATTGACTTGCTGTCTTGCTAAGAAGATATTTCATCCTTTAAAGATCGTAGTCTGAGTTGTTTCTCTTGTGCGAACGCTGTGCGATCCTTTTGTGCAGGAACACATTTGTCAACTTACCGAGAACGCCGAGTCGGTAGTTCATGGTCACCACGATCACGTTGCCGTACGCGGCGAGTACGCTGGCATCGAACATGTTTCCGGTGCCTTCCATGTAGGAGCCTCCATGAATGAACAGCATGACAGGCTTCTTCCTGCGGTCACGGATATCTACGTACACACACACACACACACACACACACAAACACACACAGAAATATTAAAGAGCCGGGTCTGGAGAGTGGGAAGGAAAGAAAAGTCAATAATTGTATTCATATCGTTATATTCTTTGATCAAACATAGCGTTCGTCCATGAAAAATGGAGAACACAGAAAATTGCTAGCTGGATAAAAACACAGTAGTACTGCATTGTATTTGGACTAAGGCATAGACTGATGGTCGTCAAATCTTAAAATACACAAAGAGATTTTTTCAACAGGTCAAAGGTCAATTTATTAACATGTTTTTTTATTTATTAAAACAAATGCACATACTGAAATAAAGTAACGCTCGAGCCGCAAAACGTTTACTTTGGGTCCGTTAATAAGCACATCCTGGGCTAGATGAGGACTGCGAGCCACCATTTGAGGGCCCTAAATTAGACTTTTCATTGCAGTTTAATGTCAACTCTCAGAAATGCGTTGAAGGTGATTCAGATTTCAAGGACTAACTTCAGCAATACGAGATTAGAACGTACGCCCTGCGACATCTAATCAGACATTTGCTGGTGATTAACGTGATAATAGCTTAAGACACTCCAGGATGGGAGAAGACAGTTAAAAACAGGCAGTTAAAGCAGTTTAAACAGAGAATCTCAAGCATGTTTAGGACCACACAGTGTGCACCGCAGGCCTTTCATTGCGTGAGCTTTAAGTGTTGATGTCAAGGTGCACCCGAAAGAGCGCTGAGCTGAACATAAGAGGTGATTTAGCAGCATGTAGAGAGGCACTCTGCAGTGGCAAAGTAAACAAAAGCAACTGGCACCACAGGCACACTTATCAGGATAAAAAAAACAAAACTCCCAGAAAGACAAGTGGGCATATACATAAGAAATTTGGTCCAGGCAACACGAAGTCTGGAGATGGTTTTTGCACACAATCAACAGATAATGAAAGGCCATGGGCTCCTAATTTATCATGCCTGCAATGAGTTTCTATATTTTACTCATTTTATTTTGCACCTTGGAACTTGCATGCAAATCACAGCTCGCCTTAAGCTGCAAGGACAAAAAATAAAACAAACAAAAAAACAACCAATTTCTAGGTGCTAACTTCCCCTGTGGGCAATCTCTACAAAACACACTTTTCTTGGATACCATCATTTCTTCTTCTTTTGTTTTGGCACACATCGTTAGCAGATCCTGCCTTGAGGTAAAAAAAAAAAAGATAATGGAAAAGTTTTACACAAAACTGTCTGTCTACCAATGAAAACACAAGGCAGGGCTTAGTTTCCAGGCTGCTCCATGTCCACATCCTGACATAGACTCATCTTTTACACTGAGTGACTTTACCTGAATATATTCAATGTCACAAGAAATAAAGTTTATCACACCTATGAGTGAAAATTTGCCCATTGACAGAATGTATAAAAAAAACCCCCAAAAGTATTTAGCATTACTACCAAATGTTACCAGGACTGTTATAATAAAAAGGGTGGAATATGTCATGGATTAAAATGCTAAAATCTAATCTAGTCTGAAATACTTATCTAAATATTGTGTTGACTTTTTCAGTACAGTGGGTCCTCCACTTACGTCAGAATTCTGTTCCTATGCGAAACGTAACTAGATTTTCAGTGTATGTCTGAACTCACATACTTTACCTATGTCCCTCACCTATGCTAACAAAATGCCAATATCGTAATTTAGGACATAAAAACATCAGGAGCCTGGGAGTCATAATAAAGGGCAAAAAAAAAAAAACACATGAAAGAAAGAAAGCCAACGTAGCACAGTCCAATGTATGACGTCCAACTAGCGAAGGTAAACAAAGCCATCTTTTCTGACGTACAGTGCCACGTATATGTCTGATGCACTTACCAACTAGTTCCATTATTAAATATATGGGAGATGGCGATGGAACCACAAAACAACATAGGTCGAGGACGTCATAAACTGATAACCCCTTTAGTTTATAGTCTAGATTTTTTGGAATGAAAACGGCAGTAAAAAAAGACAAATTTGGTTAGTTGTTGGCAAAAAATAAACAGCTGTTAAAAGAGACAGATTCTACACCTTACATCGTCTTATTGTGCGACTTAAGCTACGTCACTTTTTTTAGTTAGCAAATATGGTTGCACCCGAAATCAATGCCTTGCTGAATTAACCATGAAATATTATTTATTTATTACAAGTATAGTATACCTCATAGATATTAAAAAAAAAAAAAAGTTTGTTAGAAGCAGAAAAAAACCCCTGCTATCCGTCCTTGAGAACTGTGTGTCTACTCATGACACTTTAATGAGTAAATAAGTACACATCTGAACAGGTTTCCCAGAGCTGAGTGTTCACTGAACCATCCACTCGCAGTAAGAGTCCTGGCATTGTTAACTTAATAAATGAAGGCTGTTACACAACCCTCCCAGTCAATGTCAATCCTGAGAGTTTCTAACATATGCTCGCTCCTGCAGCGCTGTGTGCGAGCAAGCTGGTCCGTGATGAGCCCTCGTTGGCCTTTGAACCGAGCTCTCCTGGCTCGCAGCGACCGTGCCAGCGTGACAACGTGCCAGGAGCCTACAGTAACATATGGCACACGGGAGAGCTGTGGTGCAACGCCTGCCCCACTCTAGGATATCCTATGTGTGTGTGGGTGTGTGTGTGTTGGCCTGGGGGACAGTGGAGGGAATTCTTGCGGAACGGCCACATAAATAATCAGTTGAGGATGTGTTGAGAGAGAGAGAGAGACGGAGGGTGTGTGACTAGCTCTGAAACCTGCTTACGTTTACATGCATACACCGGTGACTCCATTGTGCCTTCACACATCGCACAGACGCAGTTGTTCGTTTACATGACGCTGAGACTGGTGCGTCAGTCAGGCTCTCACACAAGGAGAGCGAGGGAGAGGGAGAGTCGCTGGGTACTGCAATGGAGAGTCACTATGGCAACTGCTTCACTTTGACTTGTGTCTGCCAATCCCTCTCTCTCTGTCTAGGTCTGGCTCGCACACACACAAACACACACACACACACACACACACACAAACACACCTCACTTTCACATGGACAAAGGCTCATTGACTGTCGCTGTGGCAACATATTGCACTCATACATCTCCAGCCCCGTGACGTCCTTCACCACATCTCTACCTGCCTCTCATTTCATTAGCGGCAAACGACTAAGAGTGTCCTTTACACACACACAAACACACAGACTAAATTAAGATGGACAGTCAGTGGCATTGCGAGAGACCAGATGCACATGCACTGATGTTTTCAACAGGCCCACAGGGACACACCGTGGAGGCCACTGCAGATGACCCGGAGACTTCCACGTCCAAGGATCAGTTACAGTGCACCCTCTGCCACAGTGACAGACTGGGAGCCTCGGAGGCTACAAGCTTCCTCTCTCACTCTGTCATCCTGCGTTCTGCCTCTGGCTTCGTTGTGTTACTGTCACAACCACAGGCCATGTGTGAGAGGAGGAAGTGAAAGGCACATGTGAAACACAGGGAGCAGAGTGAAAGTGTCACTCAGAAACCAGGGGGCAGCAAATTTAAACACAAGCGATGCATTGTGGGTGCGATGTGTTTTTTTCCTTCTCTCGGAAATTTCCTTAGACTGGACCGTTCTGAGGTTGTGTTCGGAACGCATATAGCTTGCGGGCCACGACTTGAAAAGACGTGTTCAACTAAAGCGGGGGTGTCAAACAACTCAATTCAGTTCCCCTGAAGGGCCAGTTGTAACTGGAAGACTGTATAGATCAGGGGTCCCCAACCCCCGGTCTGTGGACCAGTACCAGTCCATAAGTCATTTGGTACTAGGTCGCAATAGGACACAGTGACAAAAAATGTGCTTAATTTTTACTGATTTACTTCATTCAACCATTCTTTATTTAAAGATAATCTGGCAATATTTTTAAAATAAAAGTCATTCAGACTCTGATACAAACAGAATAGAGTCTAAACGATGTTTTATTTTTGAAAATGTAATGATCCTTCAATGCTCAGCACCTTGGTACCAGTCTGTAGTAACAGGTGGTACTGGCTGACCAGTCCTTGGAACAGAGAAGGTTGAGGACCACTGGTATAGATGGAACTACTCCATCACAGACTAATACATGTTTCTGCAATTGATTATTAGTTATTCAAACTAAAAATATTGTTCATTGCTGTGTAATATATTTTTTTAAATTTCATAAGTTAAGAAACTCACGGGGCCACACAAAACGGCTTGGCGGGCCGCAATTGGCCCCCGGGCCTTGAGTTAGACACTATGAACTAAAGGCTTCAAAATAGGAGTTTGTACCAATTTTTTTCAGTCACTGTTTGTTCTTAAAAACACACAAAGTACTACAGCAGACACAGCGAAGGACAGATTTCTGTTTTGTTTGATCAGTGTCATTCTGTCATCATGGCATTTTGTGTAGTCAATTGTTTTACTATTGTGGCAATGGAGGATTGTCCAGAATATACACACAAATCCTCAGGAAAGCCCAGATTATCAGATTGCAAACAGTTCTAGCTTACCCACAGTGACATGGCACTGATTGGTCGGTTTGCTTGTCCTATTAAGCAAACATCCAGGATGACTTTGTAATATTTATACATTGTATACAGCAATAGAAATAAATCACATATCCAAACAATATCCATACCTCGCCTGGATTATATATAATTATATTTAAAAGACCTGAGAGGAAGTTGTCAACCTTTAAAGTTGCACATTAGTTTTTTTTTTTAGCCAGTTTTTTGTTTGGGACATGAAGACATCTAACAGGCCGGAATTCATAAATCACCACTTTAAAATGTACAATATAGGTCATGGCAGCAGATAGATTTTCGTCAATAAAAGCAATAGTCGACTGTAAATCCCAAAGTAAGGGGCTTGCCCCCTGAACCAGCTATATCAAAGTCAGCTTTATTGTCAATTTCTTCACATGTACGAGACGTACAAAGGAACTAAAATTATGTTTCTCACTGTCCCATGCGTAGGACAGTAAAATCTATCTATCTATCC